GATATGACATATCTAAACTTAGCTACATAGCTACATCAAGGCTTTGAAATATTTTGAGTCTACCATTGATAGGCATAATATATCAAATATCAAAGTGGTTTAAACTACTTAAGATGATAAATGAGTTTTTTACAGGACATTAGTTTCTCTTACTGTGTTACTAATGTAAATGCTACTGTGATGGGTACAACACCGCACTGAAGGGTCTGGTGCCCTTTACTGACCCACTGGTTGAGACCTGGCAGCTGTAAATCTTTTTAGGATGCTCTACCTGAAGCACAGGATCAGATAAAGACAAATGGGTGGCAGCTGTTTTTAACAAGTCTGGTCAGGGTTAGAGCAAACGGGGATGGCAGAAACTGAGCATTAACCATCTGTTTATTGTTGCCAATCTCAGGTTGTTAGATGGGGCACCCGCCAAATAAACGACTTTTTCCGGGGGAAGAGCCCCAGCAACTTCAGGTTATATGCAGACACTAGACTGTTCGAAACTGAAAAACACTCGTCAGAGCGGGCTTGGAAGCTTGGTTAAACAAAACCGAGTAAATCTGCAATGACCCGCTCACTCACAGGCACATAAACTTCTCTTTGTGTGTGAAAGCTTAAGGTGACCCTACCTCTGAAATTGCTATTGTATCTCCCCAGCATATGTCTACATCCGAAAGGGTTAAGGATTTTGTGAAGTATTTTGACGAAGACAAAGTAACTACCTTATTTGCTATTAGCCCATAGCAGTAACTACAGTGTGAATATAGCAGGAGGTTAAATCAAAGTGACTAATAGCTTTACTTTGCAGATGTCAGGAGTGTTTCCAGCCCTGTATATCTTCCTGCAATCGGACGTGGCATTAAATAGCATTCTCTCCTTATTCCCAGACTGCACTTCACGTGAATCTGTTTGTTAAGCAGCTCTCACTTGGGAGCAGAGAGGGACGCTAGCTGGGTCACAGATCCCCGAGCGCGCCCGACACACATCAGCCCTTAGCCCTCTAAGCACTTGCTCCCTTTAATCACCTTAAAGCCAGGTCCTAGGAAAGACCTTTTGCTAATCATCTACCCCAATAAGCACAGGACACCGAGCAATTTGAGAAAGTTTGGGGGATTTTTTCTTCAAAGACTCTAGAAATACGTCAATACTTAGACAAAGACTTTTTGCTGTTGCAATGCCGTTTGTAGCACTTATCGTCTTAAGCAGCAACCAAATGTACTAATAAAGAGGTTTTGGTTTAAATCCATCTGCAAGGCAGCTACAAACACAGCCAAAACATGTTTTGCTGAAGAGGAAGGAGCAATTGCTCTTGCTGTTTGAAAGAAGATAAAACAGTGAATAAAAGAGAAAAGAAATCTTGTGATAGAATTTCGCCTGTATCTACGTGACATTGAACGCTCTGCCCATTCAACATGGAGTGTATAGGAACAGAGTGAGCTATGACAAAGAAAACAACCTGGAATAAAATACTGCCTCGCTGTGTATCCAAACCAATTACTGAAGCCCTGTGCAGGGATCCATGGCCCACAAAGCAATTCCATTAGTTCTGAAGCTAGAAGCAATATAACCATACCTGTGAAGCATCAAGCTCACACAAAGAGACCTCTCTCTGCCCTCACAAAATGAGAATATTTTGTCAGACATTCAGTAGTCATGGTGTATGTCTCAGTTTTACTTCTGAGGTGGAGAGATGTGTGAAAGGAATGGTCCTGTACCAAAAGGCAGAAAAAAAATTGTTCATTTGCATCTCAGTGTTTAATCTGGACTTGACAGGTTCTTCCACATTGAAAAGACACACAAGAGAGGAAATTATTTTGGCTAAGGCAATAGGAAACTTCAGTCCCTGAACAGTAACTTGTAGCAATGAATGGCCCTAGGTGATTGATAAATGCTTTTTTTTTTTTTTTTTGGTAGAAAAACTATTTTACTATTTTGTCTCAATCTAACTCACTTCTGATTGACAATCTTTTCATAAAAGTTCTGGTTCTTTTTTCAAATAAGCAAAGATGTTCACATCTATTTCACAAATGAAGGAGGCAGAGGGGCTTGTTCACATAAAGAATTGGCAGGATTAAAGAACTTTACTGAAAAACAATAGCAGAAAATGAACTTACTGTTTGGATATTTATACCCAATAAGAGTCTTACATAAATGACTATAAAGGCAGGTTAGGTGTCTTATGCACCTGCTCTCTTTATGCTGCCTCCATGTTTGTCCAGACTGGAAAAGGACTGCATTGCACCAGGGCTACCCCTGCACCTGGAACGGAGACTTCGGTGCGTACCAAGGAAGCAGCTGTGATGCTCATCATGAACCACGAGTTTGGAAGGGTGTTTATGTCCCACAGTCCAGATTCATCCACAGGCATCAAAAACATCCGCGATTTTACCAGAGATGCCAAGCTACCAAGCCCTGGCAGTGACTCCTAAAAACTTAATGCCACTACACCTCTAACTCTCAGTACATTTATTATCATACAGAGATTAAACTCTCTTCAATTTTCTAATAAGCAGATTAAAAGACCTGAGACTCAGAGTTTTCTGACTTCTGTTTTTTTAGAAAATAATTTTGCAAATGTAAACCAGACACTCCTATGCAAACATTTTTTTCTCATAGTTCTCTGGTTGTATTACACCATGTGACTAAGTTTTAGCTGTTTTTCTAACATCACCTAAATAAATTTATGCATGAAGACAATGATTGCCTCCTTTTTTTCTGAATGACAGGCACATTTTTGATCATTCTGGAAGTATCCTTCATATATGCTTACTCCTGCCTTAAATGCTTCCCAAGGCATCAGTTTTTGGCCGCTGCCGGAGACAGAGCAGACATTTGGTCTATGCAGTACAGCTGCTCTTTTGTTCACTTTTAAAAACAGAGCTAGAAAACAAATTCTGCATAAATTTCTTTTTGATTTTTGTTGTCTTTGAGAGCAAATGTTTAGGCTTCATCACATTTTTAGCTATGTAAGTATTTTTTTTCTGAAGAGAGAAATTTAACACATTCTCCAATATTGTGTAGCTATACTGCTGACTGCATCATGAAAACTGCAGTGTCAGAACCACTGGTGAGGGAGCAGTAACAACTTTCCTCTCAGTGGTACCAAAATAGCACTGATTTTGTGCTGCTGCGGATTTCAACATCGTTGGGAAATAAAAAATAATATTGTTTAGATCAGCATAAAATTCAGTTTTCAGTATGCAGCCAGCTGTACATAAAAATGAGGAGAAATATAAGCAAAAATGGTCTTTAGCAACCACACAAACACATGCAGCTTGAAGTAGTGTTAACAGCCATCTTTCTCTCAGGGCAACTTGCATTTGTCCGGAGCCTTTCTAGGAAAAGGCGGTGTGTCTGAAGTCAGACATACTGACACAAAGTTTCTATGCTCACTGGTTTTAAAGAAACGAGTGTCTAACTCTCTACCAGCAGAGTTTAATCAATGATTTGCAACTGATTATTGCACAAAAAATCCACTACTGCTTTTGGGTGATTGTACATATAAGGAGGAAGACATTATTTTACTTTCAGCTGGTGTTAGTGCCTATTTATACAGAAAAGCAAACAGGTAACTCAAACAGAATTAAATATAATCCTTTTAAAACACAGTGAACTTCAGGTTTGTTTGGTTTTTTTGGTTGTTTTTTTTTTTTTTAATGCAGTAAGCATGATTCCAATATTATTTGCATTTACTTATTTTGTTTTGCATTTTCCTCTTAGTTTACGGTTTGATGTGCCTGGCACATTTTAAGTGATTTGACATTTTGACTACAGATTTTAAGCATTGCTTTACCAAAGACTACAACAACATTTACCTTAAATATTTTACACACTTGCCGCTCATACTTTTTTTCTTTGATTTGTACTCAATTTTTTAATAATCAGTCTAATACTCTCTAGTGTCTCCATTGCACAACTTGCTCTGAGAGTGGTTGTGATCTTCACACAGTCGTATTCCACGCCTGATGCTATGTTGCCATCTGTTGACCAATTTAGCAGTTGTAGTACTAAGACGAGACAGCCAAGAATTTAAAAAAATCTCTGAAAGGTTTTATAAGTTCAAATCTCAATTTTGTATTTACTTCTTTTTCTCTATCTAGGAAAGTTACTTTAAAATCTTAATATTTATCCTTAAAATTTATTAATTTAAAGAAAAAAAGTCTTAGGCCTTCAAAGATCTTCAAAGGTTATTTAAGGAGTCTGTCTAAAGGCTAATATAAATTGCAAATACTTTGGGAACCAAATGTAAGAGAAATATACTGCATGGATGGAATTGCCTATCTTGCTATGAAGTTACATTTTTCAGTTTCAAAAGGTGTCCAAAGGGATCAAGAGAATGTTGCTGCAGAAAAAAATGAAAATAAAAAGGGGTCAAAGTGTTTACTATGTGATTCATTATTCATGGTTTTTTGGATAACTTTCACTTTAAACTTAAGTACAGACAAAAAAGTAACGTGTTTGTATAGGATAGTATTTCAGCTGGATTTAAAAAGGAGCAAGAGTTACTTTTATCAGGATGTATAGTATCAGACAAGAAGTTCTTCATGCCCGCTTCGGCATCTGAAAAGTATATTTACGTCTGCATGACAGCATGTATAAAACAGACGATGTATTACATTTTTTTGCCTCAAAGGAGATTTGTAGGATTAACTTCAGAAATACCGGAAAGGCTTAAAAAAATTCTGATCATGAGCACCATGTATAAAAAAGGATTGGTTTTATATAAAGCGATTAGAAAAAAGTAATCTTTAAACAAAATCTTTTGAAGAATTTACACATGGAAGTCTATTTTGAAAAAAACATGAACAAACCCAACTTTGATTTTTTTTTTTAATACATAAAAATAAGAATGGATTGTCTCTATTAATATTTATAAAAATGAGAATTCTTTATATTTAAACAGCAATATACAAACTAAATCAACTCAGTGGCTTAACCATTGTGTTGTAGTGCTGACTTCAAGAACTTACATGGATGTAAGAATTTCATGCAGTCTCTATTTAGTGACTCACCTTTGAATCATCCAGTTCCAGCTTTTTCAGAGACTTTCTGACATAATCTATGAAGGAGGATGATTTGGAGAAAGTTTTTCCAACATGACGATCACTGCAAATATAGTGATGAGATGCAGGCTTTTATACATCCAACAACTGAAACTTACACATTTTTAATTAATTTTAATTAATTTTTTATTTCAGGAGAAATAAATCAGCTACTACTGCCAAGTTAGTAAAAATTTTCCTTTCTCCCCTGTTTACTTAAAACAAAACAAGCTAACAAATACCTGAAAAAATTTCTAGATAGAGCAACTGTAGAATTGTACTATGGCTATAGTACAGTTATTTTATCTAAAAATTGGAGAGTTGAAGGTTTCTTTTTAATTTCTCCCTAATATTTTTATTTCGTTGTATGAAGGACAAAATTCTTATTTATGATGACAGATATTTCCTTCTATACTTCAATAATACTTCTATGATTTACTACAATGCTGCTGTAATTTATTTACCATCAACCACTGGACAGAGCAAATGCCAAGTTGGAGTAAAATTTCACTTTTGCTTGTTACCTTTTGTTCTTATCCTCACAATTTTTATTTCACTAAGCGATGCCAGAATTTTCTCCTGTTTACAACTCAATGGCCTACTTTTGAAGCCAGCCAAAAATGTGGGTTGTTTCAGAAAATATGTTAAAATAAGACATGAAAACTTAGTGTATAAGAAGACTGAATCCTAACAGGCCACTTACTTACATTTGTTCTCTGTGTTTAAAATATCTTGGAGAAAAAACATGCAAAGTTTTTGTTAGTCTGAATTCGTTTTCTTGACTGTGTCTTAACGTGATTCCTCTTCCAGCTGTGCAGTGTAGGAGTTGTTACATCTTCAGCTACAGTTGCTGGTTTTGAGTATTCAGCTACTTAAGAGGAAAAACACTTTCCCCCTCATGAAATACTAAATAGAAATATCTTTGGTAAAAAATTTCCCCCTCTTTATTCTTAGTAAAACCCCCTTCTCCTTATTTAAGGATCAGGATCAACATAGAATGGTTTGGGTTGGAAGGGACCTCAAAGATCATCTAGTTCCACCCCCCCTGCCATGGGCAGGGACACCCTCCACTAGACCAGGTTGCCCAAAGGCCCATCCAACCTGGCCTTGAACACTTCCAGGGATGGGGCATTCACAGCTTCTCTGGGCAACCTGTGCCAGTGCCTCACCACTACTGAGGTCAACAGAGAGACTTTACTCAGTGGCAGTTCTAATGCTGTTTAGCTGGCAGGGATCCCCACTCACTGAGAATCAACAGTCACATTTATTTTTAAAGAAAGAATGAATTTCTGAACTGATATTTGATACTCAGATGCACCCAAACATTTGGGCTGATGCTATCTGAAAATCCATTAATGATTATGCTCTTAAGTCATTCTTTGGAAGATGGGTAGCTGCCTCCAAATCACAGGCTGTTGGGGGGAAAGATATCATCTGGGTCTGCCTGGGATGGAGCCCATCTAGTGCCGTGCTTTGGATTTGTGACTAGAACAGTGCTGGTAACACACTGACATTTCAGTTTTTGCCAAACAGTGATTGCATGCCATCCAGGCCTTCTCTGTTTCTCCCTCTGCCCCCCAGGGAGTACGCTGGGGGTGCACAAGAAGTGTGTGGGGGACACGGCCAGGGCAGCTGACCCGAGTGGACCATAGGGATATTCCATGCCATACAACATCATGCTCAGCAATAAAATTGGTGTGTGGGTGAGGAGTTTTTGCAAGGTAGCCATTGCTTTTATTTCAAAAGTATAATCTTAATTACGTCCTCCAAATTATACTTCCTTTAACAAAGGAAACATATTATAATTCTCACACTTTTTCTTTTCTTTACAGTGTAGTAGCCATGATTTTATGTGTGATATTTTATGTAATTTTAAAATAAACAAGCATATCTTCTTTCAGGAGTTTGACCTTCTGAAGGGTAAGCTGTCTGGCTCTACATTCAGCAAAAAATTTGGGGGTATCTGCATTAGCACTTATTTTAGATCAGGAACATACTTCTGAAGTGAATTTTCTGGTTTTCCCTACCTCTCCTGCCTTGCTTTACACTGCAGAATAGGATCAGAGCTCAAAAAATGGGTTCTTTTCAAATTAAGTTGAACTGGAAGGTGCATTTCTGGATGTGCTCCTGGATGTGCTCCAAGTGTCAATGGGCATACACCCCACAGAATTAGATAAACTCTAATCCTACCACAACTCCAGAAAAAGAGCATAGTGCAGCTGTCAGGTCCTCAGCAACAGCTCTCCCAATCCCATCCTACACGGGCGCAGTACTTGCCAAGGCAGGCACAGGCGGTAAGTGGCTCTTCATAGCCATGTTGGCCATTGGGCTTTTAGCAGTTTTTCTCAGGACAAATGTAAATGTCTTTTTGTCTTCTGCAGTATTAAAGCTGCCAGGATCTCTGCACAACAGGGTGGCCCAGGATTGGGTTGACTTTTTAGTGAATTCGCAATCGATTCTCTAGTGAAGTTATGTTCTATCCATGTATCCCAGTACCAAAGAGGACCTATTTCAGCTATGGGTAGAAGAAGGGATGTGATGTGGATTTAGGATGAACAAATGTATCTTGCATTTTAATACCAATATGTATACACAGGCTGATGAGATTGATTCTTACAGCCTTCTGCTTTCTAAGAAATACTTTCTCTACAGAATAGAGGTAGCAGAGAATTGGAGCTTTGGTTCGAATTCTGTGAATTCAGAGCTTCCTACCTTTTGGTGACACCATAAATTTCTTCTATAATAACCTGAAGAACAGCTCGATAAAACAATGATTCTGTAGGCAGCTGCAAAAAATTTTACAACAGCAAGGATTTCAAATTGGCATTGGAATTAAGATCAGAGTAACAAAACCAGTATTGGCTTCCTTAACTACTTACTGGCTTGTATTCTTTACAATCAGTCATAACTGGTTTAAGAGGACAATTTACTAATGTTCTTGCATCCAGTTAAAATGACGTTTTTGGGTCAGGTTCTAACATAACCATGAATGCAACAAGAAAAAAAAGAAACACAGGCTGTGAAGTAAAAGTTCAAAGGTTGGCAGAGGGAAAAAGAACCGAGGAAAAACATACTGATCATATCCAAATTCTACTATGCAAAATAAATATAACAATTTACCTAAGCTGTTTTAAAGATGAAAGGAGTAATTCCATAGCTGAATCATCATACACTGTAGTCTGAATCAGAATACGCTGAAAACTTCCTATCTTTGTGTATGAAAGATATTTGCATAAAAATAGTTAATGCTTGCTAATTAAAAATTCACAGTAAAATGCATTTACAGTAAAAGGCTATTGGGGTCAGTGGGCTTAAATATGGAAAGAAGTTGTCTCTCAGCCTTGCCTTTTAAATATTTGCACAGTTGGTGTCCACCCAAAAGGATAACTTGCACAACAATAATTCAAAGTATTCACAGGGAAAAAAATATACAGGGATTAAAAATGAGAATGAAGATGTTTCTAACCGGTTCAAGCTTCTGTCATAACAATTTCTATTTTTACATTAGTTGATAAAACATTGGGATAGAGTGATCCAAACCAGGGATATCAGAAGGACATTTGCACTGAATTTATGTATTAGCTGAAATATAGTGAAAGAAGTTAGGAAGGGTAGTTTAACATCTTAAATTTTAAGCCACGCTTTTTTTCCAGACTCTTAATTGTCAAAAGAAAACAGATTCACTAAGTACAATCATAGCAATAAAAATGTGATTTCATGATGACACATGCTATCTATCAGTATTTGATGTAGGGTATGCTAGTACTTTAGATTCCAGAAATGCAGAAGTTCAATAAAAGGTCATGGATTAAGAGCATTCAAGGGGGATAACCACATTTTATCTTAGAATGACTAAAATAAACAATATAACTTACCATTTGGCCAACTGCAACTCGCTCCAAAGCCTTTAAGAGTGAAGGAATTAAATTGCTGATATGTTTATTCTTTATCAGAACATTTTATAAACACATTGTATAAAAGTCAGAGGAGATGACATTTTAACAGATTAGTGGTGTGACATAACAAGAGCTTGCACCCTTTAAAGTGTTAATACCTTTAGGGACTCATAATCAGCTCACTCCTGCTATTTTGGTTTATTTATAGAGAAGCAATGACAACTGACACTACGGAAATAGATGCATGCAAAATTTGTTTGTTTTTCTTAGTATTGTAAAAGAATGTCATGGGATTACTCTCTGTGAATGTGCTAAAAAGAAGTCCATGTTTCTTGAGTCTGTTCCTACCGAAAGACAAATAATTCAGTTTGCGTATTCAACTATTTTAAAATAAATAGTAGTTAAATGTCCAATGTCGTTAAATACTTTTAGTCCCTAGTATTCACATAAATTGAATTTCGATATGTAAAGTTAAATAAAATAAAAACTTCAGAGGGGCTGCATTTTACAATGCTGTGCATTATCTTTCACTAGCTTCTTCATGCCATAAATACTGATGCAGGTGTGACAGTACTTGATTTTTATGATCTATAGTGACAAAGAATGACAAATAATTAGAAGTGTGGAATATTTTTCCACAGTTGAAAAGATACTGTGTCTGTAATAATTTCAACCAAGTATTAAAGACAGTAGTAGAAATGAAGATAAAAATTCAATAAATTATCTGATGATACAACAAATTAGATAGCAAACCAAAAATGCCTCACTACTTATGGGTCATCGTCACCTTTAGCCCCCAGACTCCACTACAGTAAATAGGACTGCTCGTCTCTAAACCACCCACTTCTTCTCCTGGTTTTAGAATTGATTTTGTATTTCAGACTGTTCTTCAAACATGGTCCAAGTAGTCGCAGTTCCGCTGTTCATGGCTTTGGCCAATTATCAGGTTTGACTTCTGCTGCATAAGCTATGGCTCTCATACCAGCATCTCTCTGCTGCTGCTTAGAAAGATGTACATGGGTTCTAACATGTACTATATGGGTCTGAAACTGAAACTCTTGTCCAGAACCTTTGGCCCTTGGCACTTTAATCAATTTGAATGACACGTACTAATGAACATCAGCAATAATGCTCAGAGCCATTGCTCAGCAGACTGTTTCCCCTAGCCAGTCATTCCCCCAGGACAATGGGTTCCTAGCTGCTGCACTGTCTCCCTTGAACCTCCGAGAAGGCAAGGAAAATCCTAGTCATGAAAAATGCATAGAGAGAATTACAAACATAATAGCAGTAGAAGTGTCTAGTGACATGGCAGAACTCCTTGCCTTTCATGACTGTTTAAACAAAAAAGTTTTTAACTGCCAAATTTCTGTGATTTCAGTGAAATCTAAAATAGATATATATGGTAGGATCAGTACTGTCTCTTGGGGGTCATTTGCTTACAAAATTTATCTTCCTACCATTGTTGAAAAACAGCCCAAACTTTTCCTTTCCAAAAGAAATGGAATGGGAAGGCAAATAGCTAATGTGTCAGCTGAGGAAGAATTGGTATTGTATGACACCGACAAGAAAAAAAGAAAAGGCTAATCCCTTGTAGAAGGTACTTTTTGTGATAAGTTTTACAGCAACAACTCTAAAAGGAACGATATTTTTCTTGTACCTTGCCCATGGCAACAAATTCAAGCCTTAGAAGTGCCACACAACTGTTCTCCTATACCATCTCCTGATAGCTTCTAATTGCCATGTTAGTTCAAGTTTACATAACCTTGATACGTTAGCATGTACTGTGTCTTTGGTCCACGCTGTTCTCCGTACTGGAGGTACAGAGCTAGCAGCAGAGGCTAACCAGAAACTGATGTGATTCATCTTGATACCAGAAATTAAAAATTAATAGAGGAAAGGAAGAGTGGTCTTCTAACTGAAACAGTGGTTGACTTTTTTTAGTACATATCTGTTTTTTCAAGTTAGACAACAGTTCATCATCCTGTCTTGATGAGGTTAGGTCTTTAAAAGCACTTCATGTGTTGGTGCGGTGTTAAAAAGAGGTTTCCAGTCTCTTAAGCCACATGGATTTTAGAGCTCTTCTAGTTTTTGGAATAGGCAGGTTTGTTGAGGTCAGAACATTCAATATTATGAATCATTGAGTCGTTGGGGGAGTTACTGATTGCAATCCTTCTACAATTACCTTGTTCCCTGCTAAGTCCTTGGCCAGGAACTATTACCCTGAGGGGTTACCTTGTTTAGGTTTCAACAAAGGTTTGGCCTTTCTGTCCATTCTTAAAATACATTTCTGTCAATAGTCATTTTTTCAGGCCTTCAGCAAGTATAAAATACATAAAGCTGGAAGGTCAATACTATTTTTTTAGATATAATTCATCATCTTACAACATTAATGATGTTATTCTGTAGAGTCTGGGATTAAAGTCATGGCTCTAGGATTAGAAGCCAAAAACAATGAATCCTATAACATCTGGATAAAGCTCTCAGTAGGAAAAAGAAAAGAAGGGGAATCATACCAAGCACGCTGACATTCTAGCATTCCGACCACAGCACCAGCCCTTGTCCTTCAAGTACTGACACATGGGAAATCCCCACACTTCCTCTGGGCAATCTACAAAATGGAGAAAAAAAGACCAGGCATAGCTTTCATGAGCTATTTTTCTCTTACTTACAGACTACACGCTGTATTGAGCAAGATGAACGGTAGTTAATGGTAGCAGAAATGCTTAGCTGTTCTAGTCCACTACCAAAAACCATGGTAGTGTTATAAAAAACGTATTTTCCCCATAACAGATGTTTTTTGTTCAGGCTGAATTTCTGATAGCTTCACATTTTCCAAAACAATTTTAAGTGAGTGTCTTTTATGAAAATCCACTGAAATAAACATTCCAAGGGTTTGCAAATACTCATGGCACCCCATGCCATGCTGTGAGTCACAAGATGTAAGCCGGGCAGTCGTTCAATGTAGCAAGACTTCAGTATCGCTTCTCATTGGGTTCTTCTTCTATCATAAACATCTTTTCAACATCACACAGAACGATGTGTATTTGTTTATTTCAGTTCTGAAGGTCCGTGCTTTGCTGCGAGGCAGAATGTTTGTTTTCCAGAAAAGAGCAGCTGCACAGGCTCTTGCTGTTTCTTCATAACACCAAGAAGCATTTGCATCACAATCTGTCTTCAGTTTGTTTCAGTATCATTAATATTTTGAATAAGACCACAGTTCTTCATGTTTAACACTCATGCAAATGTGGGAAAAGTAAATTACGGGGATTGCTTTATAGATGTTCATAATACTCAATTTTAAATGTAGACAAGCTCTACAATGTTTTGAATTTTCATTACTGCATTTGTCAGCTGATTTTTCAGAACGCTGAATAAGAATTACTACTTTCTTTAGAAAAAAAAAATTGGCTATGATCCTGCCTTTTTAGCATAGAAAGATGACTTGGGCATATTTAAAGAGAAATCAGTGTAACGGGGTTAAAAAAAGGACAGCAGAAATACGACTCTTCAAGTTTACCGAAAGTCTGAGATACATACATGTAAGTAGAATTCATTTTGTGAAAGTTGAGCAAAGAAAAAGGGAAACAGGAAACTATAAATGATATGACCCTCCTCCCCACAGCGAAAGCGCTCGGTTTTCTAGCAGTAGTTAGTCCCTGGTCTTTGCTGATCTCTAGGGAGTAACAGCAAGCAGGTAATCTTCTGCAGGCAACCTCACACTTTGCTCTCCTTTTAGCCCTGAGAAATGTCAGAGGCTCTTAGGGGATGAATACCAGTTTGAGGGCCGTGATTTAAGAATAGGAGGTTAATTCTGGATAATTAGCAGAAGGAGAAAGATAATTCCTTTAGATATAAAGATGAAATTTGACAAAACAGATTGCAACTGATTTCAGCACTAGGAATGTACTAAGAATTTGTAAGTGTCTCATGACAAGATATGAAACATTAATTAACTTCAAGTCTAATTATTGAGTACATGGAATAAAACTGAGTATTTGTACCACAGGGATCGTAATAAGAACTTACCGAATGTATTTTTTGCAAAGGAAACAATGACTGCCATGGTTCCTATTCTATGATTCATATTAATTAGACTAATATATATGTTAAAACATTTCAAAATAAAAATTTGCAAACTGAGTTAGAAAGATGAAATCATTGATCTTTCCAAGTTACCCCTTCTAATTTACACCCTGTCCTCTAGGCAAATTAATCATCCATGCAAGTTCAAGTTGCTACCCACTGAGCTACAATCTCAATATTAGTGCAATATCCTCATGCATAGTTCTGAAGAATTCATGACACCTTTGAAAAAGATAATCAGGCAAAGCACCATCTTCATTTAGATCACTGAAACTGCTCTTACAATTTTTTGTGTATATCCAAAGTTGACCACATATATCTACAATATTGCCTTGAGTTCTATTTATCTTTCCATATCCAGTCCACTCTCAAGCACATTGTTGATTAAAAAAAATAAAATTGTATGACTCATATATTGCTATAAGGTTCATATATTTATCAGCTACATTTTAAACCCCTGGAAATTCTGTTAATGCCTGCAACTATTTTGAGATATTCTTAATATTATATAACTCACTAATTACCATATTGTGCTTCCATCTGACAACACATCAGCTGTTCTAAATGATACAAATCTCAAAAAAACATTCAAGCAACATTTTAAGTATGGGTATTCTATAGAAGATTTCACAGCAAACAGCACAAGTGTTCAGCATGACACAAAGCAACAATCATGTTATAATTCAATATACAGGAGCCACTCAGACAGAATTCTTCTTCCTAGGAGAAGTCAACAAAATGGGGAATTCTAGGTCATCATTTGATGAGCTGAACTGAAGCTATGCTGGGGTATAAACCTAGAACCTAGTAGTTAAATAGCTATGACTTTACCTCTAAGCTAACCTCTTAAAAAGATTAGATCACACATTTAATAAAACGAATTGCTGCAAATATTGCACCAAAATAAAACATTGCAAAAGAAATAGTAATTCTGTTATGTTCTAGAACAAAATCTATAAACTATGCCATAATTTTAATGTGGAGGAAGAGAACACAGGAAACAGAGTTAAAGCACCATCATGAACAACACGAAAAGTTGTATCCTAGTTTGCCTTTGTGGAACAGTATGGTTCCTGGAAACCTACAGAGATAAAATATGGATGTAAGTAGTTTGAAGATACTTGCTGTTATTTCCTTCTGTCCCCATAAATTGGTTACATCTGGCTGAAGTGTGAAAACATACTCATCAAAATCACCCAGATACACATAGCAGGATAAAACAAAACATATATTACTCAGAAACATATAATGCTGAATAAAAGAACAATTCCAACCATTAGCCACAGAACAGATTCCTATTAGTTCCCTCTGACTGGGTTTAATAACAATCATAGTTTCATGGAAGAGTTAGACAAACTAATCCTGTCCTTACCATTCTTTTTTTGACATTAAAGAACATTTTTCTGATAGCCATAATATCTCCTCCCCTAGAAATGGATTTTAATAGGAACTTTCCAAATTTTCATCACTTTTTTCCATTACAATTTTTTTCATGTCTTTTGAAAAACAAAGGAACTTCGTGGATCTTAAAACATAGGTGGGAGAATTCTTTTAAATATTTTCATACTTTAAGCAATCCCTCAATAGATTTCCTAACTCTTCTTGTGACCACAGGGATGTCTCATGACTGACTAACTTCAGCAGCTGATTTCTCACTCCTCTAACAGGCAGAAATGCTGTATGGAGAAGCTGTCTTGACTTCAGTTTATTATATACTTGAAATCCAGTGGAGGAGATTAACACTTTGGGAAACAAGTGCAAATACATTCAGATGCCAGCCACAACTGAAAAATATTAATAAAATTTTTCACTCAATGCTGTCTAGCAAAAGAGAATACAAAGCCTCAGGTCTATATTGGTAAAATATTTTAAATTTGAGTAAATGTAAAGTCTCATACTGAACAAATCTAAATTTTCGATGAAGTATGTCAGATTAACTTTCCACTTCTTCTGGGAACCCAATACTATGAGTGTTCTTTAATATTTTGTCAGAATTTATTTCTTATTTCCTAACTTAGTCTTGGAAATCATATGTTATTTCCTGTCCTCTAATTATTTAGACCTTTTTTGTAAGACCTTCAGTAAACTGCTGTTTAGTTTTGTGGAGGAATGGGACTTCAGCACTCTTCCATTTTGTGTATAGTTTGTAACACTGCAATATTAGTGCCCTATACCATTTGGAGCACCAGTACTATTTTGAACTTTGCTTATAAAGGATTTTCTCCCTTTCTATTTAACTTCCAAGTGAAAAAAAAGGCAATACATATGGACATCTGATATACTGAAAACATTGAGTAGTAAAAATGTATAAATCACAACAAATATATTATATATTTATAATTAGATCAACTACAACTTCCCTCATCATGATTTAATTCTCCCTGGATCAGAGAAAAGCTTCAGGCTAGCCTTACTGTTGTTACCATCACATTTACAGATCCATTAAGACTCTTACTGCCTCAGCAGTGTTTCAAAGATATTTTTTTAAGAGTTGTTTAACTAATAAAACAATTAAGCATAGCTAGGAAACAGGATTTCCAAAATGTAGAACACTGAATGTTTTCTATTTATGCTTCCTTTCTTGCTAGTTATAGAAAAAATATCTGGCAACAGAAGTAAAAAGAAAGGATTTCACTGGCTAATCCTTCTGTACGTGCACATGGATTTCCAAGAAAGTTCAAGAGAATGGGATGAGCTTCTCCACTATCTTTAATATTAGGCCTTGCATAGTTCTTCAACTCTAAGATACTACAATTTCTAGTGTGTTAACATCTAAAATTTACTTCGCGCAGCTTTACAGCACTATACAGTTTCTATGAAACAACAGGACCAACAGGTTTTATTGTTACTAGACAAATAAACTTAACTAGGGTTCCATGTGGTCTTGCAGTTTCTTATCTTCCTTTGCTAACATTTCATGAAAACATATTTGCATTTATGCTTCTCATATTTTTAATTTCTTGCAATTCCCAGCTGTTCCAAACTGCAGTTCCCAGTATAACAACTCATTTGTTAAGTTTTCTGCCTTACCCTCCAGAAGAGATAGTTCTATTGCAGTAATGTATTGAACACTATTTGTTAAACTCATCCTGGCAGAAACAATACAAATTTTGTCACGAAACAATGCCTATCCCAATGGTTAATGGATAATTTATGAAAGAAAAAATAAAAATAATCAGAGTTTTGTTTCACTTGTGTGGTACAGTAGAGCTGATTATAATGTCTGTTTTGAAATTATTCATCTGCTCTTTAAAAACAAAGTAACACAAATAAGTTATGAAAAATGGCAAAGTAATGTAAAATAGAGGATTCTGATTTTCTTGAAAATCACTTTATCTTTCTATTATATTTTTAAGATTTTAAGATTTTCTAGTATAGGCATAATGACAACAGATTTATTTTCTAGTAATGAAGTTCATCAGATTGTAAACAGCACGTGGCAAAGAGAAGGCAGAAGAAATATGTTTTTAGTGCACAGGCTGAAATTCCCACTCTACTCATCATATTTTGTTTAAGAAATTATAT